TACCAGCAGAAGTTCAGTGGTAAAACAACTTAACAAAACATGATTGTAACCAATAGTTACAATCATGTAATTACAGTTCTTTGGAGATATCATGGAATTAATGCATCTTTAGAAAGTATCACGAATGTTTACTTCTTCACCTAGTCTGGGTTTGAAGTTTTCAAAGATAATAGAGCTGCTACAAGAAACAGATTTTAAAATTTTGCCTTCATTTGACTTGAAGTAAAAGAAGTGTTTACTTGGTTACAAAAATATGCAGTCATCTGGAAAAACACAGACACAGCTAGCAGCTTCAGCTACAAATAACAGTTTATAGTTAAGCTGTCTAGGACTGCTCTAAGCATGGAGTTCAAAGGCAGAAGTACCCAGGATACACTCACACCCCTATTTTTAACCTGTTGTCCAGTTGACTCAGACACTCAGATGCTTCAGAGACGTTGAGGCAGAATTGATCTATTTAAATACTCAGTGATAAATCACTTCAAAGCTATCAGGGCTTGAAGGATTTAAATCAATTCCGGCAAGTTATGATCACATTCCCTGCTGTCTTGGGCAAAAGATGTCAGAGACAAACCTGAAAAACAAGAGATCAAGGTAAAGACAGGAATATTAGTAGGGCTTCTGATAGCTAAAGTTAGCAACACATTTCCTCCATGTCTGAAGCCATCTCTACAGTTCCCCTGGCTGGTGCCTTGAAATGCAGCAATTTGCACTTTAGATTTACCACAGATGCAGTCATTATTCTTCAGCAGCAAAAACTGCATCCTGAACAGTATATTCCAGCCAGAACCAACTGCAGCTTGGTGTACAATTTGTAAATAAGTGCCATAGAATCATTAACGTAGGAACTCAAATTCCAAGGATTGAGTTCTCATAAGCTCTTATATATGTATATTGTAGAGGCAGCTTGTTCTCATATCCTCCTCTATTGCAAATGTAATGGGGTAGGAAAGCAAAATTCATTGCCTGCTATTCCATCAAATAAACACAAAATCTACATTTGAGACAAGCCTATTCCAAAAGCATTTCAAGAACGAATTATTTCTCTTCCTTGCCTGTCATTTTATAGCATATTTCATGGACACAGCAGGGTCTGTCCTCCCCAGTACACACTGCTTCCATGAGAAAAACTACACATAATTACTTCAGCTGCAAGTTGAAGGACATAGGGACATTCTGAGAACAGAAAGTCCTAAAGGTGTAAGTACAAATCTATATTTCAAAACATCCCTTAATTATAACTCACTGGTCATGTAACAGCTTTTACAGATTAAGACCACTCACTGTAGTGCTAGGCAGCAAGTGCACCTACAAGTTCTCCAGGAGAGGCATGTCCCCACACACAATAAGCCCAATTAGTATGGTACTATGCAGCAGGAACATGTAGTTAAGACTGTTTTGTAAGCTACGTTAAGGTCTCCAAAGACTTAAAAATCAATTGTTATCAGAACACACTGCAGACACTTACTCATGAGGTGTATACTCATAAGTATTCACAAGCGGAATAATTTTTTTCTTGAATTTCAGTTCCAAAGTGCCTATTTTGAACGTCCATATTTCTATAGCAACATTCCCATTAGGCACCAGGAAATGTTGGATTAGACCTACTTATACTGCAGAATTATTTCAATTATGATTCCAGGAAGCCTATTTGAAAAGCTCCTGTCTTTCAAAGATGTGATCTTTCAAGCTGTGACCAAGCAGCATTTAAGCTTCCAAGGAAAGAATTGCAAGTCCTTTTTCACTATTGTCATGAACACATTTGTGTTAGTTTGAAACAGCATCCTTTCAGCAGGAAATAAACACAAGAATGGAGGTTTCAAGACAGCAAATGGAAAGCTGAATATATCCTTTATGCAATGCAAAGAAGAGACATACAAAAAAAGCTCTGGGACCATGGCTCAATAGTAAAGCAGGTCTTTCACCTACAAAGATCATGATCAGAAAATCAACTAGACTTGTCTGCTTCAAGTTAAGAAGGATGCAGAAAATGCAGCAATATAGGCAACAAAAAAACCCAATGAGTCATATTATTGATCAGCCAAATGTACTTGTAGCCCTGCCAGAAGTGGTCATCACCACTGGCAATGAACCAGTGGCCCTTGACTATCATCCTGAGCATACAGGATTCCACCTCACCCTATAAGTGTACCATGATAGCAAGCAGTCTACCTCATGCAGTGAAAGTCTTCTGCAAAACAATATCAAACTTGCATTCCACAAAGATCTAAAGTTAGTGGTGAAATAACAGCCTACATCTGCTTGCAGCTTGTTCCTGGCAATACAGATCATGCTTACAGCTTAGTCATTTTCTGCTCAACCTAGTTCAAATAATGAGCCAGATTTTCTATGAGAAATTTGAGAGTCACCACATCTCTACTGATGGTACACTGGACTCTGTTGTCCAAATAACAGAGTTCCACTATACCTCATCCCTCTATCTGAGCTGCTTCCCTCATCACATCAGCCCTCTGTCATGTTCTGTCAGGAGCCTGATTTAGGCATCTAACCCAATCCAGGTTCCATAAAAGATACAAAGTAGCTAAGGACAAAGTTCCGTCTCTTCTGTTGAAACATCACTTTCTTTACAGCTTCTACCATTTTCTTACACACAGAGGGAAAGTGCTTAACCATACAGGCAAAGTTCAGCCTTATAAAAGGGAAGTCTTTGCTCTTCCCTAAGCCAAGTACGCTGCTGAAACCAGAGCTTGTTTCAACTAGAAAGGGAAAAACTTGGTACACAAACATGAATACCCAACTTAGATAAGGTGTTATGAATACAGCTCCTTTTGCTTAACCTTAGTACTCTGCAAGCAAGCAGGATTTAATCTCACTGACATGTAGCAACAAATTCAGAGCTGTTTATGTCTGTGGACTAGATACACCTGAGCTGCAAGGCTAGCAAAACAAAAATGGTACCAATGTCTGAGCTAGAAATTAACACAACCTTGGCATACTGAAGAAGGTAACTACCAAGTAAAGTGGGTAACTTTTCAGAACCAGAAGATTCCATTAGCAAAACAAGTTTAGTTCATTCTTCTACTCAAAGAGAACAAACCAGATAAAGTTCAAGGTATGAACTTGGGTAAGCCCTTTTCTTACATCAGTAATCACAAGTTCACAGCATCCCTGTTTTGCAATCAATTATCTGTGTGTATCCCTGTAGTCATAGGCAGCATATCAAATGGTGGGGGTAGAAGGGTAAAAAAGACCAGCAACTGAGTTAAGATGACCTGAAGCTGCCTCAGAGTTAGAGATTTTCATGCCAGGCTGTACAGATATGCAGGACTTGGCTTACTTTCAGTCTCCACAAAAGGAAAAAAAACCAAAACGAAACCCCAAAAAAACCAAAAGATTCCACAAATATGCTGGCTTTGTGATTTCATTTAATTAAAAATGTACAGGTAAGATAAGGATTGTTTCCTTTAAAAGTTAAACCCTGATTAGATGATGCAGACCAAAAGAGAGAGACAACATACAATGATTGCTGTTGAATTCCAGTGCCACGGGTCAGGAAACAGAGCTTCCAGCCAACAGCATCACTGTTGTCACCAGTAATTTGACAGAGCAGATTTGCTACTGGACAGGGTAGGGTCAGTGGCAAGCCCATGACACCAAGATAATAAAGACTGTCAAAAATCTGCACCATGACTCCGGAGGGCTCTTGGTTCTGCATCAGTGCCTGCTCTAATGCAATCAGACACCACCTTGCTCAAACACCGTCAGCAGCACTGTGCTGAGTCATAGAGCCTGTGGGGACACTGGAGCTGCAGGGCCTGCGAGCACTCGCTGCACTCAGCCTGCTGCAGAGCTCAGCTCTCCAGTCACAAAAAACCAGCAGTGCAGCACTGGGAGCCCCTCAAACCCAGTGAAACAAGGGAAGCCTTCAGCTGAAATAGAGTATCTCAGCATCTATTATAACACAGCAAAGATTAAGGTTTTTCAGAGGTCTTTACAATTCCTCCATACAGATACAGCAAGTTCCCCTATTTCCAACCCTCTCACAGCAGTCTTGTCATAGGCAATCTATGTGGAATGACCAGCAGCATATCTACAAGGAACCCATCATTGCAAAAATCAGACAGAAGCATGGTTAACTTTATTTGTTTTCAGAAAAACCTACAGTGTGTTTGTCTGTGTGTAAATATATAACAGTCCTTGGAGTATTTCAGAAAAGGTCAAGAACAGGATATGCAAGAAAATATTAGCTGCTCTGAATGCTAGCACTGGAATATGTTTAACCTTCTTCAGCTGGCAGGGGTTATTGGTTTCTGACCATATCTTTCACCAGTGTGGCTGTTTCCATTTCTCTGAGCCTTTTCTTTCTCTATAGCACTTGGTAGTATATGCACTCTTTGCAGTGCAAACAAGCTGTAAAATTTAGAAGCTCTGAACAATGACAGGCTAGCTCTAAGCCAGTAGTTATTTCAAGACCCAGCTCTCTAAATAAAGTAGAATTATGACAGTACCTCACCATGTTAAATACACAGATGTTCAAGAAAGTGTTCAATAAAAATTACTTTCATCTGAGGGGAAAAGTAAAAAAGTCACGCTACTAGAGCAAACTAGACATCTGTTTTAGAAAATTAATCCTTGAAACGACCACAGCATGATTATGAGTTTTTTCAGCTGCCAGCACTGAATGGTGCATGATTTGTGCCAAGTTCTTCACTGCTCTTGCTTGGTTGAAATGATTCTCTAAAACACAAAGGTTTAAAAAAGTTTCTTGATTCACATCAATATCTGAATACTAGAAAAACTTTTGTTCAAATGTTACTGAAAAGTCACATTTCAAAGTGAAAAATGATTACTAGGTGCTCAGACCTGTTAACAAAATAGCTACAGCACCCCTTGGAATGACCTCTTCCACACAATAGGCAATACTCATTAGTGACCTTCAATGCAGCAAATCTATAATACCGCTGGCACAGCAAAAAGGCTGCTGCAGGCAATTTAATAAGCATAAAGACTGCAAAATAAACAATGAAAAAGAAACTGACCTTAAGTTTAGAATGCTGAAAATTAGACTCTTCCTGCTCTTCGTGCTGCACGGAGTCAGCTCTCTCCCTCACACTTCTATACCCAGGACTGGGTATAATGTACTCTTTTCCTATGTCGATGTCTTTCATCTTCTGTAAACGCCAGGGTTTACACGTGTATTTTCACCTCAAGTGTCTGAAAAATAAATACATTCCCCTTCATTATGGGCTGTGCCCAATACACCAGTTACTTTTAGTCACCCATTTTTAAAGTTTATTTTCTGAATAAAAATCAGTAAGCAAAATGAGTTATAGTACAACAGAACTATAATAACATGACTTTCAAAGTCCACACAAAACTAACTTCTTATGAACTAGTTTAAACATACCCTGAGGTAATCAAATAGTACAATGATCCTCAATGCACTAGAGTGCTGTCATACTTCCTTCCTTAGATCTCTGAAATATAATTATGCAATCTGACAGATTAAAGTAATAGCTACACCATTTAGCTGAAACCCTGAGAAACTTTTCAGGAAGATCAATTCTCCAAAATCTTTTGTAAAGAGTCTGAAATTGCATACATCCAATAATTTATCGGTACAAAGTTTTGCAAAACCAATCCCTCTAGAGAGATGACTTGATAAAATTAGTCAGTATAAACACTCAAGAGAAAACTACATCTCTTCTCTATAGCACTGCTCACTTACTCCATAGGTTTGAGCTATAATTAAGTATAGGCATGCACAGGAATGAGTCACACCTTCAGTGCTGCAGGTTTCCACCCAGTCTATCAAACTGCACTGAAAGGTCAGAAGGAGAACCAAAGTCCGGAAGACAAAATCACTCCCCACTGCGAGACTCTGTTTTATAACTCCGCTTTATTGCATTCTGCCGCTCGCCTTCAGCTAAGGCGGTGGGAGACGCCTGGTTGCGCTACGCTGGTCAGACTGCACCAGCAGCTCTGCCGGGGTGCGCGGGGCTGCCACGGCTCTGCCGCCGCCGCATCGCCGCCTTCGGCAGCGCGGGGCTGAGGATGCTGAACCCGCGGGCTCCGCGTCCCTCCCGCGGCGGGGATGCGGGGCAGCCCCCCCGGCCAGGCATCCCCCAGCAACCCGGGGGGAGCCCCCCTCTGCTCTTCCCCCGCCTCCCCGTGTCTTCGCCGCACTGGCGTAAAGACGGGAACCGCCCCGCCCAAGGACAGGTGCCCCCCGCCTGCAGCTGAGGCGGGACGGAGCGCGGCGGGAGGGGGCACCGCGCAGCCCCTTCACCGGGGACGAGGTGAGGGGACTGCTCGACCGGGCTCCTGACAGGAGAGGGGACAGCAAAGCCGCCTCCTTACCACACAAAGGTTCACCCGCCCCGGTACCAGCCCCGCTCACCTCCGCCCGCCGACGGCCCCGCCGCAGCTTCTCCGCTCCACGGCCGCGAACCCAAACAACGCCGCTTATAGCGGTTCCGGCGTCCCTACTGCGCCTGCGGGCGGGCGCTGCGGCGGCCGCTACTCCCTGGCGCCCCATGGGAGATGTAGTCTGCTCCTCAGAGCTGGACACTCACTGACTGCTACAGTGAACTACATTTCCCTCAAGGCCTCGCGCGGGCGAGCTCCGTTTGGCCGTGCCCCCGTCCCGCCGCGCCCCGCCCAGCCCCGTCCCGCCGCCGCTGCCGCAGCGTGGGGGGTCTGGAACGTTCGCCGCCCGCCGGGGCAGCCCCGCGGCGGGGCGGGCGCACCGGGGCATCGCTCCGGCACCGCAGCTCTCCGCTCCGCTCCTCACCGCTCGGGAGGACGGCAGCGAAATGCATTGCAGTGCAATGCAACGCAGCACAACGCAGTGCCGTGCTGAGCCGTGCTGTACCGGGCGGTACCGTGCAGTGCGGGAAGGACAGCTCCTTCCACCGAGCCACTGCCGGTGGGAAGAATTGGGGTCAGCTCTGTTCAGACACCGCACACGGAGCCGAAGGGCTGGCTCGGTGCTGGAAAAGGCCAGGGGTGTTTCGGTTTTGCCCCGTCGCGGCGCTCCCGGCAGCGGGGGCTGCAGCAGGGCGCTGCCCGGTTTGCAGAGGCGGAGCGGCGGCCGGTGCTGGCCCACAGAGCCCGAGTGGCGGCCTCGGTGTCCGTCCCTCCCGGCCGGCCGCGGCTCGCACCAGCCTGTCACTGGCTGCCGATTATCTACAGTCCCTCGGCCGGGGAAAGCGCGGCGTGCCCTTATCCGGGGCCTAACCTTGGCCGCAGCCGGGGCCGCAGTCAGTACCGGCTCCTGAGCCGCGGCAGCCACTGCCGCAGGCCCGCGACGCGCTTCCCAAGGAGTCGGGCATGATTCCCTTGCCAAGCCCCAGCTGTGCCCTTCCAGCTCCCTCAGACCACCTAAAGGGACGGGGAGCTTGTCCCAGGGCTTTCACAGCCAAGCTTTGCCGGTTGAAAGGGATGGAAGCTGCGGCTGTATGTCCCTGTGTGGCTGAGGGCCAGCAGTCCTGCTTCCCAAAAGAGTGTGACACAGGGTGTCCAGCCCCCGCCTCAGGGGAGTCAGTGAAGAGATGGACAGAGCTGCGTTTCCTCTCACAAAGGGCCGTAAATATCCTTAACAAACCCTGAGCTGTAGCTTCTCCCCTGCTGCGTTTAAATACCCTGTCCTCAGCTGACATCTTCCTTCCACCAGCCAGATTTGGCTGATGTCTCATTTAAGTGGTTTATGTAACGAGTGCCTGTTTGCACCGCAGTCCTTGCTCTCCTGTCAGGAATATTTGTGAGAGTCAGTTTGATAGAAATGCTGAAATGAACTCAGGTAAAGAAGGGAGATGGGAATCTGGAAATAAAAGTGGGACGGAATATTCCTTCCAAGCCCACAAGCCAGAGGTGCAGGTAGAAGGTGTTGCCATACAAGTAACAATCCAAGGACACCCGTAAGGTACCAGAAAATCCCTGCAGAGTTCCTTGACATACATGATCACACATCCTGCAGACCTCTGACTCTATTTCTGGAAAAAATGAGAATCAGCTCTATTGCAGGTGCTCTTAACATTTTGGGACAAGGAAACTGACAGACAGACATACCTTGCCCTGATACAGTGGCCAAGAACAAATACAGCTGCTGTATTTTTCTGCAGACTCTTCCCCAGGGCTCGAAATCATGCAGTTTCAGATTGGTTGGACTGACATTTTGCTGGGGAAGGCACTCAAGGTGCACTTCATGCTTTATAAATGCTATGTTCCAGCAAAATGTGGATTTTAAGACAGAAGCCAGGAGGCAATTTACAGTAAGTCCCTGAACAGTCATTAAACTGACCTTTGTCTACACCAAACATACTGGAATGCAGGGGTGAGTTGTTGTTCAAATACTGAGCTGTGTAGTTAAACAGCGTAAACAAAAATGACAAAGCATGAATGATGGAGAAAATTAAACTGTGTTAAAGCTTCAAGGTGAATCACTGATATTTTAGGGTGTTGACCTGAAATTGTTCTGACTGTGAGCATGCCTTTGGCCCCTGGGCTGTGGAGGCAAACAGAGATGTTTTTTGGAGGTGGCTGGCTGTTTTTTTAGCTGCTGATAGGTTGAAGCCCAAAGGCTCTGCATCACATGCCTGGAAAGGAAGAAGAATATAAACCTCCATTATGCCAAAGTCATTACAAAATGTGTTCAGAAAGATGAGCAGAGACCGTTGTTTAAGCCAAGGGAGCCAGAGCCCTGCCTACACTTGTTCTGTCCTCTATTTCTTCAGTGCTGGAGGAGATCTGAGAGTAAAAGGGAGGACCTGAGTGATAGTAGAAAACTGCTGGTAGGTAATGATGTGTACACTCCACTCAGCTCTGGGCAATGGGCTGGCAGCAGCATCAGGAATGTTTTCACACCTGTGGTCCTATGAGTACATTCTCCCTTAGTACAGCAGTGGCATGAAATGCTTAAGTAGGCATAACCCACTTTTTAGTGTGTCACAAGTCTCCTCCAGCGTTTGTTCTAAAGGCTATAAATGTACTGGTGCTACCAGCCAGAGGAGTTACATCTTTAGCTCCACTGGCAGCAGCTAATGCTAGTAGTGCTGCAAGTCCTGGATTCATCCCTGAGGGATGGGAGCTGTTACATAAACAAGGCCTGTACAGTATTAAAACTTGCCCTGATTCAAGATCTGGGATTTGCTGTAATCAGCCCTGACTGCAAAAGTAAAGCAGAGCCAGACCAAATAGCCAGAAACAGCTTCAAAGCCAAGGCCTGCACACCAGGGTGAGGAAGCAACACTTGAAAATTAGTTTTCTTAGAGGTGTCCAGAAGCTGCTCCACTCCACCCCAAAAAACCATCAGCAACAAATCTAAAGCAATGCTTGAAACAAACTGATTTGAGCCATCAAAGCAGAAAATGGAGCATCTCCAGACTGATCAGGAAAACCAAGGTTCAGCTTGTGGGAGTGTTGGTCTTTGTTCAAGACCAGTTCTTTCCCCTCTCCCAAATCCCCTTTCCTATAACCTCATACACAGAGGACATCATCTTCTTACCCTTTCCCACTGGGATGCTTGGTCCAGGGTGCTGACACTTGCATTTTCAGCATGAGTTTCCTAAGTGTGTCCCTCCTGATGAGCATGCTGACAGTTGTTGTTCTTGCTAGTGGTTTTCTACTCTCTTGCAGATCAGAGCTCTCAGCCATGAAGTGTAGAACTCATAGATTAATTGGACAGCTCAAACAGAAGTCCCATGACCAAATTTAGCCTGTAGCACTGCAAACCGTAACAAGTCCAGAAATAGGGAGGTCTGAAGAGACTGCATTATCAGTTTGTTCATGATTCCCTATCCCTGTGCAGCAGCCAATCTTTTATTGTCCATCATGTCCAAGTCTCCCTCCCACACACAGCCTGTTCAGGACTTTGAGCTCCCAGAGCAGTCTGAAAAATTTCCCATAGCACTGCAACTACTTCAGGTCACTCTTCATGAAAGTAATAACTTAGACTCAGCTGGGCCACATGAGCACCAATCCATGTGGGCAGCTTGGCAGATTGAAATAAGCTGCCCACATAGGTAGGTATATGTTGCCAACAACTGGAGGGTAAAGAGACATTGCTATTCGTTTTCCTTTGTATCTTGTATCCACTTTCACAATTCCAGAGGAAAGGAATTTTTTGTAGCAAAAGCATCAACAAGACCACTGAGGGTAGTCATTCTTAATCCATCATACTTAGCCTACAGAGTTAACATCCCCTTGCGGAGACAGGGAGAGGGCAGAAGTCAAGGTGGTACTTGTAGCAGGGCTGTCACAGACTGCTGTGGCTTGCTCAATTATTCCCCTCTTCAATCTCACTAGAAAATAAGCTATGTGGGGACATCAGTGGGCTGGGTTTGTCACATGAAAACCATAGTCCAGTTTCCTGCAAACAATGACGTTAATAATCGTCAGTATTTCACAACAGGTCATTATTGTTACAGCAAGAATTGGTGACGAATTATTGTTTTTAATTCAAGAAAAGTTATGGTATCTAATGGATTTGGTCATGGCTTGCAGCTGAAGAACCAGAGGCACCAATACTCCCTGCACATATTTAGTGTTACTAGCATCAGTCTTCCTAAATATCCTTCTGGATAATCTAATCTATCCTCCTGGTCTGGCGAGGGTCATGAGCGCTACCCTCCAAGCTGCCCACAGCAACACCTGGATAGACACAACTGTCCATGCTGTGCCAGGCATCTCCCTGTCTGCTGGACATGGATACTTGTCCACAAGACTATGCACACACCAACCATACATAATTCATGCCTACCTGGTTCCATCCAAACACACAGTATGGGGGCTAATAACCTCCCTAGATTGACATAGTACCAAAACCTTTCCCCCATCCCAGCCATAGTTGCACAGAGAGAGGTTTGCACACTTGGAGCACTAAAGACCCAGTACCACAAGCTGAGCATTTCTTGGAACTCAGCATTTTCCATGCAGCTACTCTGATTTTCAGGGTATGAGAGGCATAGGACCTTGTGGGATGTTCAAGACCTAATCAACACCACAGGAATCCCTCACTTCACAGAATGGGTACTCTCTGAGCTCTCACTTTTTCATTACTGCTGTCTCATTGTGCTTACAGATTTGCAAATGACTCATCCAGGCATTCAAGTTCATGTGCTTTATGTTGGTTCAGTGCTGAACAATCTGTGTTGCTGATCAGAAACTGCTGAGAGTGAAGGCCAGCTCACACAGCACAGTGAAGGGCCATTATTTCCCTGCCCTTTCCCCAGAAAAGTACTCAAGAGGGATATGTTTGGAACTAGAGAAGACAGGAGTCTTTCTCTTTCCTTCTGACCTATTTTAGCAGAAGGAGTCCATTAATATCTTAATATACCTGTGCATTTGGCTTTCCTGGAAACAAACTGTACTTGCTTGATGTTTGTGCAAAGCTGTTGGTAGTGTGGGCGTTCACATTGTGATTATGCTTCAGAGG